AGTATTTATATTAAGTGAACTCATTTCTGTGCAAAACATATGTATCACGTTCATCCTTTACAGAGAATTCGACAAATCTGAGGATGACTGAAATTAATGAGCGGTAGTGTATATTTGACCCTGAAAGTGACTTTGTCAGTAATTTTCCTGATCATATTTGTAATTAGCACACCAAAATGTCGTGGTATACCAATTGACAACGAAATCAGAGGTTTCATCTCTTCAGAAGGATATCGAAAGAAATTTACTTTGGCTGTAAAAAAATAGTAAATATGGCCAAAAATGCTAATTTTGGCACATTTTACCTCAATTTTCTCGAAAATTTGACGTGTTAGGCCAATTCTGCGATCGGATTCGTTTTCAGCAAACAAAAATTTATCGAAAAATGCTTCGTTTATTTAGGTTCAACCCAAAAAGTGTTGAATTGTGTTATTTTATTATTACTAATTATATGTATGTCAGTGAGGTAAATAAAATTTTTAATTAATGCTTCATATATTTTCATAGTCATAAAAAAACTATTCGGTTAAATAATTCTAACTCAATAATAATAATATGAATTAGGCCTAATGCCGGTCGAAGCTAGATCTTAATTGTTTATTAAATAATTCACAGATATGAATATATATACTACAGATGTATATATATACTATATATGTACTTGTATATATACCATATTTGTAGTATTATTACGTAGTATTATTATGTAAATAAATTTAATTATTTGCAAAAATATTATCTCGGCCGGGAGTCGAACCCGGATCTCTTACATTCCATATGAGCATCCATTTAGACTACCGAGGCAATAATTTTAAATATTACATACCTCAAAATCGATATCGTGAGTAAGAAAATCCTCGAAACTGTCGTTTGCTTGTTCTTCAACGTCGAAAGGAACTGAAAGTAACTCCTCCACTTCCATGAGTCCAACCCAGTCCGTTTGAACTGCAGTAGATATCGAAATGCATGTCGTATTGTCCTTGTTGACGTCGTTGTTACACATTTGGTCATTTGTCACACCCCTTTCGTTCGTCGTTTCCTCAATCTTATCTTGACACATGATCTTTTCGTGTACCTTGGACGGCGTGTGAGGCACCTGTTGATGTCCACTGGGTTGTCGTCTAAGGATTTCTACGATGATTGGCTCCTGAGCCGATTGAAAATAGCGTATTGCATCCTCGTGACTAAAGTTTGAAACATCTTGCCCGTTCACCTAAAAACGAACAAACATATCAATACGTAAGGTTGATCGGTTTTATGAATAAAGTACATAGCTCCAATGACCTTGATCTTGACTTATGTTGTCAAGGTCATGATCCTAAATAATTCTGCCTTAACAATTAGGCGGTGGTCTCTTACAGTTTCTTAGATATTTAGGGTTGAAGCAGGTCTACTGCACACCCCCCTGCTAAAGGGCGACTGATTTTCCATGCAATGTTACAATATACGTATTGTAATAATATACACACATTATGCATCTATTTATGCAGTATATACGTAAATAATTGTGTTTATACACTGCAGAGATGTTATCTATAAAATATATTATTTATAAACAAATGCACAATTTTATATTTTTCAATATTTCATTGTTATACCCTGCTTCATAATGCTTCTGGGTCAATTTCCCATGAGATTCATATGGGAATTTGCGGGAGGGACGTCTTACGCCGCCAGCGCCGTTCAGTTTATACTTATGTCTTTTGTCTATGCTTTTAATCGACTGATTGTATGATCTTTGCTGTGATTGGTCGATTCGCTTATTGGCCTTTAAGGCTTTCTTAAGTTTATCTATATGCCATAACCATAACTTGCTTGTATCCACCATGTTTGTACCTGTTTGAGTTCATGGGGGAAGAATTACATGGCGTGCTCAGTTTGCAAGCGTCTCTCTCTAATTCTCTATCCTCTTGCTTGTTCGCTGACCGTTCAGTTTAGTCAACCTTAGTTGTAGTCTTTATCGCACGCACATCATTTAGATTTGGTCTCTTTTTATCGTGTACTACCTAGTATTACCAACGTTTGTTAGCGTCGTATGCTCCTATCATAGCTCTTACTACGAAGTAAGAAAAAAGGAGACTCAACTTGATAGCGCGCGAGCAGAAAAAGTGAAACCGGTTTGTGCGCTGAATTGGGAAGGAGTTCGCTGAGAGGAATAACCTACTAATTTGGACGCCGAAAAAAGCAGTCAGCTGTACCAGTTGTACATACATACATACGAGGTACACATGTTTATTCTCTGATTTGTACTTGTGAGAGTCTTTTTTATTCGGACATCTTTTAAAGGAATCAAGTCGAAACAATTGAGAAAGGATTAAGAAGTCTTTTTCATTGCGTGTACCGTATTATAACGTATTCGGAGACAACAAGAGACGGAAAAAATAATACTTTGAAGCCAAAAAAAAAGAGAAAAAAGTGAGTAAATGCAAATAAAAAAATTAACTTTATGAAATAATGAATGACAAATAATCAGTGTCTTTGAAATAACAATGAATGAGAAATAATTATTTTTCAGTCGTATAAGTATGAGAGAAAACTCAAGGAAATTGGAACATGTAACAGAGGAATTAAAATTTATGTATTTACAACAAAATTTGAATTTAGTAGAGTTGCCTTCTTCGAGCTGAGGATTTACAAGAGGAAATGAAAAATTTTTCGGTTTCCAAAAGGCCGAAAATGATTTCAGTGTTAGAAAAAGAATGACTGTATTCTAAAATTTACACTTTAATATTTACATCAACGACGAGATTATGCCTTTTTCCAAATATATAACAATGATGAGTACTAATCAAATTAACGAAATTTTGAAATCTATGGATACACTTTGATTTATAACTCATGAATTGTACATATGATATTTTTTCAATGAATTATAAACACATCAAGATCTCTTTTTTTGAACATGAGAAAAGAATAAATAAATAAATTTATAACTTTACAATTTATATATTTTTTTATTCATTTTATGTACATTTTGGTATTTTCTCTTTCTAATAGGTTTTATCGGCTGCTTTCCATTTAGACAACACAGATCGTGTAACACGGCCAAATATTGTGCTTAGATACTTAAATGGAACGCGTTTAGTTTGAACTAGATTGCTAGGGACTCTAGGGTCTACTATACAGATTACGTTCGGAAATACAAATAATAGGTTTTTGAACGCAGTTCTAGTGAGCTCATTATAATCATTTGATTGAAAAATGGCGGACAAGGAGCGTATTGACATACTTAAAATAGGTACAAATAAACATAACTATCATTATTAATATTTACGATTGTGATAAGTTATAAATATGATATTTTGCAGATGAATAAAATAAAAATTGTGCATCAGTTAATAGAAACTTCCAATTTAGACAGCAGTTCCGATGAAAGCAGTGCATTGGAAGAATTGAGCAGTAGTGAAAGTAGTAATAGTAGATAGTACTTCTAGTAGCGACGAAGATCATGCAGACTTATTGTTTTTTCCTCTTCTACATTATTTAACGACTGACCGAAAAAGATATCGTATTGAGAATTATCTTTTGATTATTGACTCTTGAACAAATCAAGAATTTAAAGAACATTTAAGATTGAATCGGCATACTGCGCAAAAACTAATTGGTATGAAATATATGCATTATCGATTTATTCATAATAGTTTACACAATTAATTATTGTGACTATAATGCATGCTATATATAAAGTACTATATAAATTTTTTACAGATGAGCTACATTTATCAAATTTTATTTCATCGCATTTGTTTGGAAAGAAACCAATTTCAGCAAAATTGAGTTTTTTAATTTTTTTTATGGTACATTGCTAATACGGAACCTCTGCGAACTATAGCTGATAGATTTGGAGTTGCCATTTCATCTGTGTTTCGCGTTCTCCGTCGTGTCATAGCCTAGTTGATGACAAAATTAGACGTAGTGATTAAATGGCCACAAGGACAAAATCATATAAAGACCATGAAGGTTTTCATGCTAAGCAAGGAATTTCAAATGTCTTAGGAGCCATCGATGGTACTCATATTCGGATAGAAAAACCTGCAGTGTACGCACAAGACTTTTGTAATAGAAAAAAATCCTTTTCTATTAGTTTACAAATAGTGGTAGATGCACATATGCGGATTACCAACATACATTGTGGTGAGCCCGGTTTTCTCCATGATGCGCGTATATTCCGAAGATCAGAATTGTACCATGCAGCAAATGCTGACAATGGTGTATTATTTCCGGATAATATTTTTTTATTAGGAGACTTAGCATATCCATCTTTGTCGTGGCTTGTACCACCTTTTCGAGATAATGGTCATCTTACACCACAGCAGAGAGAATTTAATTTTTTACATTCATCCACAAAAATATCTGTTGAAAAAGCAATAGGTGAATTAAAAGGACGATTCCGTCGAATCAAATTTTTTACTGAGTATCGTGAAATGTCATTTATCACTAACACAGTATCTGTAGCATGTATATTACACAATTATTGTATAGACGAGAATGATGTTTATGATTTTCCTGAAGATAATGATGAAAATTTTAATAATTTAAACAATTATAATGAAGAAATACAAGATCATAGAGTGAGACAAGATGATCGCAGAATACAACTTTTCAATGAATTGTTCCCTGAACAATAAATTACTGTAAGAATTTTGTGTAATTTTCCGAATGGTTAAATATGTATAATATAATGTAAATTTGTAATAATGTTGATTCTATAAAATACAAATAACTGTCGACAACACTGTATCTTATATATATAATATTAAATTATTTTTATTAAGCAATTAATGAACTATTTATTTATTACATCTCTTATAAACATTATTTTTTGTATTATTACGTGTGCTTCAATAAAAGAGATAGTAACATTAAAAAAATATATAACACTTTCCTAATTTGTTTAAATCTTTCGCTTATGATTTCTTTTTTGGCATTATAACTTATGCTTACGAAGAAAATATAAAATACTAATAAAAATAAAAACTTAAATAAAATCTTAACGCTGCTTTAATTATAGGATTTTAGTCAGAATTCGAAATTTTATGAACATTTTCTTTGTCTTCTACAAGTTTCTTTAACAATTCGTATTTTAATTATTCGATTTATAATAATTCCATATAACGGGTTTTTTTCTTTTGCTTTCTTCATTGCAATTTCTTTTCGTTGTTCTAATTCAGTCTCTTTTAAATCAAGTTGTCTTTTTTTTAACTTTAGAGCTTCTTTCTTAGTCTCCAACAAACCTGTATTTCTTCTTTGATCTTTGATATGATCACGTTCATCTTTTCTTTGTAAATGATGTAGCCACTCTTTTTCGAGTTCTATCTTTGTTGCTGCAGTTTTGGAGCCTGTTCCATAATGAGAGGATCACTTATTTTTCACGCTAGTAACGTTTGAGTTTATACGATCATTCTTCGATACAATTCATTTCGATGAATTGGTCTCAATTGAAGAGGATTCACTCGAATATTCTTTTTCAGAAGTCGAAGTACAAGTGGCGGACGTTGATAATTTCGATGAAACAATATTCCCAGTACTGGCACGTTGTCGCGGTCCTAAAATTTCATCCAACTGCTTATACCACTCGAAGTCCATACGAGCCCTTCCCGACTTTGAATTATTGTCTATTACTTCTCTGTACCTCTTCTCTAATGCATTGATTTTCCATCGGACTTGGTCATTTGTCATCTAAAATAAGATAGAGTAATCGCTGTGTTAATATATAATATTTGAATAAACAAGAAAGGAATATAGTTACATATTTGTATCTAATATTTATACAATAAGAAGGGCTACGAGCCAAATATATTATTCAAGGACAATAAACATACATCAGAAATTAGAATAGTTTATCGCAAAATAAATGTAAATAAAGAATTTGTAAATAAAGATATTTGTATCTATATCTATTATTATATAAAATATGTAGTTTGTATAAAAATGTACAGAGAACTTAAAAAATATATTTAATTTTATTCAAAATTATTTAAATACATTATCATTTAAAATTCCTTTATCATTTGATGTTATGTAACCCTTTAGGAGAAAGTCGATGTATTATTACGGACGAAGAAAGTAATATACCTTTTTTAATGAAAAAATACCTTTATTCCAAACGTCAGTAGTCCAATTCTTATTGCGTCTTCCTCCATACTTTTCCTTTTTTTTAGGATGATCCATCATTTCTATATTTGCTTCATATAAGCTTATAACAGCCAATGTTGCATTTCGATCCCAAACAGCATCTGTAAAAATATACGTAAATGTATATAAAGTATATAAATGTATATAAAGTTATATCTATTTTTGTTAATTATTACTGATAATTATTAGTATATACACATACGCGTTCTTGTAGATTCTGAAAGTTGCATTATATTATGTCCGCCTTTTTCAATGCTTTGTTGACAAGACATTTCTATAAACAGTTAAAGTACTATTTAAAAATTCATTCTACTTATATCAATTATTCATTAAAAGATAACTAATAAGTGAAATAAAATAGACAGAATTCTCTTGTTATACTCACGTTTATCCTCTGCATAAAATAAAACATTATTATTTTCCTCTAAGAATACTGTTTTTCCAATAAAACAATCATGAATAGGAACATCATCCAATGAAGGAACTTGTTTATTGCAATGTTTGCAAATATACATTGCTGCATTTAAAAATATATTAATTATGTAGAAACAATTTTTAATTAAAATTCGTTAACCAAAAATTGGCAACCATACCACAGTGTTCGACTATGTTCTGTTGTGTCAAATCGTGCCGTGGCGTGTCGTTATTGGAAAGCACCGCGTCCGACACTGTATCGACGTGTGTCGTCTAAAAGCCTTGATGGAAAACACCCATCATAATTTCAGTGTGTGCTGCATTTTGCACGGAGCACACTGAAGATTCCACATTATTACAGTAAGTATCTGTTGCATGGCTCAGCTTCGACGATTTCCTCTTTTCTTTGATTCGTTCTTTTTCTGTGTTATTGTCATTATTGAACTTCTTGCATAAGAAAGACATCCTCATAGTTAAGAAAAAACGGATAATCTTGTGCGTAACCTCGTATTCATGTTTTGCACAACCAATTAAAGGTAATTGGGGTAGCTGATGTATTATGTTGAATAATGCTGAATAATGTGTCAACATTCAAATCTCCATCTTTGGTTGCTTCGATTACTCCATGTTCCACAAATAATAGTAAGACGACTAGTACAACCGATGGATGTTTCAGGGTCCCTTTGGTTTTTAACGGTATCAATTGACTATCCGATATTACGTCATTTGGTCTTAACACCAACGTTTTCAGGCAAATATCGCACATCATAACTTGTTTATTTTCCAAAAATTTTGTGAACCTTGGTCCTTTCCTCGCAACATATTCAGCAACATAATTTATTACGTAATCTGTAGTTGTGCATAGGAAGTAATCGTGGTTGTTAAGTAGGTATGCAGCATCCAAGAATATTAACATTTTTGCCTCTATCCAAAATGGTATCAATTTGATCGATCCACTGTCTTTCCTCAGGATCTTTTATGTCCTTGATACTCAACAGAACATCCATCAGTTCTCCACCAGATATGTTACAATCTTTTGGCGGTTTTACAAGTGAATAAGTTGAAACTAATTTATACATTTGTATAAACAGCTGAGAATCTGGATGCTCATTGAATCCACAGCAAATGCCTTTGACAGATTTGGGTATTTTTGATGAACTCGTTAATGCCTCTTGTAGAAATGCCACTGTTACGTCCTGTAGACGTCACGATTCTTTCCTTTCGAAAAACGGCTCCACGCCGCGACTGACGATGGCATTTATGAGATTCGAGTGCAATCTCCTGTTAACAATCTGAAAGAATTAGAAGGCCTAAAAAGCTTCCACGAAAACTCATAAATGCCACTCAAGAAGGAAAGAACAACAACACTGATGCGAAGCTGGAAACACTAGGCTTGCGAAATCCATATGTCTGCGTCATACCCTAGCTGCCACCCGAGGAAGACTAACAATTCCATATTAAGTAAAAACGTAGGGCTAGAAGCGATACGATTACAAAATATGCTCATATAAGGAAATCGCAAACACCCAAGCCGCCACCCGAGGGTGATTAACAATTCCATATCAAATAAAGATAAAGCCGGCGCCACGTCGCGCTAAGACATAAAACACTCCAAAGAAACGCCTATATTAACGTTATCTGAGACCAGACTTAAGATTGACAACGGTTGCCCTACACGCGAACATCCTAAGAAAACTGATTAAACGTCACGAATAATGGTTTACCCAGCTATATTTTTCGCGACATAATAAAATTTGACATCCACTCGGAGCAATTTTCTCGCAGACTCGAGAAAATCGTAAATTACCTCCTCTTTAACGCACTCGAGATTAACCACGATAGGATCTAAGAAAAAAACGTAAATCACCGCTTGACATTGTAACTTAACAATTGTCCTGGATAAAGGAAAAGACGCCCCTTTTTGAGGTATAAGTAGAGGCCCGCGAGAGAACGCGTCGTCAATAGTAGTCAGTCAGTCATTCAGTCCGTAACGTCAGTCTCTTAGGGTCAGCAACGAGAACTCAATAATAGTCAGTCAGTCATTCAGTCCGTAACGTCAGTTTCTCAGTGTCAGCAATGAGAACTCAATAGTAACCAGTCAGTCACTCAGTCTGTACTGTCGGTCTCTTAGTGTCAGTTAGAAGCAACTCGACCGACCGACTTGGGCCGTCTGTGCTACTGGGCCTCTGCCTTCTGTATCTTTGGTCGGCCGCACAGGAGACCCAGCTCAGGAACACCTTAATCTGTTCATCTATCAGTAAGTCGTGAATTTTCTTGTTTTCTGTTTCCCCCCTTTTTTGGGGACCACAAAATATATAACTCGTATTATAGTGCGCGTTAGAGATTCTGCGAGAGCCACCCGTTTACGGGGTCGCAATCCGACCGTGCGCAGGAGTCCGCAGGGTCGCCAACTCGAACCCGACCTAGCTTCAGTACCGCTAATAAAAGTAAACACCGAAATTTCCTACTCCCCTTTTCCTCCCAACGACAATGTTCTCCTAGATCTATCCATCTCTTCCGCCCCTGACCCAATAATCCTCGATATCCTGTAGTATTCTCCTCCTCCCATATCTGAACGATTCCCTCTCTCTGATCCTCCTCTCGAACAACCAATTCCACCCCCTTCCCTAGATCAAGTCCCATCCCCTCCTCCGGCTTCACCCCCCTCTGGTCCTTCCCCTGAGGAATGGGATCGGATTTAGATTCTATTCCGCGGCTCATAACGAAGCCGACCAAATAGTAACAGTATATATCCCCGGTAACCCCACGCCTTTTACAGTTCTCTACAGACACCTCCAACCTTTGTGTTCCTGCACCGCTTTCCTCACCAGTGTCCTATAACCCCATCCCTCTCCTATCCTACTACAAATAATACATAAAAAAAATACACTCACCCGATTGCACACAATGTATTTATTTCATTTGATTCTGGTCCGTTTTTGTAAATCGCGACATACACACACATACACATTAGATAAGTTTAGCAATAATTTATACCGCCAGTTTATATATTATTTATAATCATTTTTTTTCTCTATCATTATGATTTTATAATAAATTTATATTAATTTCAAAATGAACATCCTTGCCCAATAAGGCATTTATTTGCATCCCCTCGTATCCCGTGTTCCCATTAGCATTCTTAAGTTCGCACGTGGTCTAGTCCTGGGTAAAAAGGATTAAGTTCTTTGACCCGAAAGTAGGACCGACGTTCGCACGGCTCAAAAGGAAACAGGTGTCATAGGGTCCCTTCGGGACGCTGACCCATATTCCAGAGCAATAAAAGGTACGTTCGATTCTCGGGTGTTCGCCTCTGCGCGTATACCTAAGAGACTGAGTCTAAGCGTCCTTCCACACCCTCTCATTTCTCTCCTTATCTCCTTCAATCAAACCTTCCGAGAGCTTGGAAGTAACACCACTCATGAGCCAATTATTAAACATCTTTTTCTACATAATAATCAAATCATGTACATTTTCATTTAATAAAATACAACAGCATTACATACATGATACTTTCAGACGACTTATTGTATCTCTACAATTATAAAAAATACTACTGTACTTACTGTGCGAGCTTTAAAAAGGCTACTTCTCTTTTCGTCTTTTTGTTTTCCTTTACACGAACGAATCCAGCAGGACATTTTTGCAATTCCCAAAAATCGTTCCAAAGGATTGCTGAACTATTCTGTTAGTTCAAATTACCATGATTCATTTGGATTTAAGATATATAGAATTATATTATTTTTTATTATCGTAGTTCTTACATGTATTGGCTCTATGAAGTATCAAACTCGAAAAACAAGATGTTATCCTTCTATGAATGTGTTCCTTTCAAGTATGTTTTTACGTGACCTTCTAGATCAGCAAGAAAGAAACAATATGTCCAATGTTGTCGGAGCTCTGCTAAGAATAACTTCTTGTTGATACAAAAACAAGCATTGGAACTTCACGGGTAACCCAATCAAATACAATCATAAAAGTTGTTTTACTATATCGTGAGACAATCAATGGTTCCAGTCTTTTGTGCACGATGTCTCCACTCCAGCAGTATGGAAAAGAAGACTCCAAACAACTCCGAGGTGTTATATTCAGCATTTAAAGATTAATATTTCAATTTAGACTGATTTAGGAAACATTCCGCCTTCTCAAAAATAATTCAACACGTACCACTCTGCTTGGACGCCGACGACGGAATCCGTCTCTTACTTCGTGATTCGCAGGCACAAGTCTTCGCGGCACAAGCAAATAAAGTGAGATAAGGTTAATATTGCAAATGGCATCCAAATTAGCAAGTTATTTCGGTCAGCGGATTTCCTCCTAATTCGGCGCACGAAACGGTTCCACTATTTTTTATAGAGTTGAGTCTCCTATTCTCTTCGTGACTCTTACTCACTTTAACGCGCTCGTTGGAGGCGTTATAATAGGAATTGAAATACGTTTCAGAAATATATACTCAAAATATCTATATCTTTTTTAGAATTTTTCATAAATATGAATTCTGAAATATTGTAAGATTCGTATAAAAAAATTTGAGATATTTTCTAAACTAATTATAAAATACAGGAATTGTAAAAATTCAGAATTTTTTTATATGTGAATTACAGAACATTGTAAGATTCGTATAATTTTTTATAATTGGCAAATCTTCAGATTAGGGAATCCCTCCCCAATGATTTTGACCTTGATATACATACATTGGCTGCGTTCAGCAGAGAAAGCAACTTTGCAACTGTTGTAAAATTCTTTAATATGATTGGTTTATACGTTTAGATCTGTAAGGAACCAAAAG